GTCTTCAAGACAAACTGGTTGAGTAGATATTGTTTATGTCATCTTACGCCTGAGATCGGCATGGCTTGTAAGAGTGACTTTTATAGAGTTGCCTACCAACTCTGAGCAGAAGCTACTGTTTGAATTGGGGTTTCATATCCAAAGTTACCCCCTTTCCACTAACCAAGACGAGTGGTCTGTTGAGTTGGATAAAATCCAGAAGCAACTATCTGGTACTCTCACTTCCATTCTGATGCTTTTTTATTTGAACCATCCATCCTCCAGCACAGTCAAGCTTCAATGTGTCTTCTGAATTTCTATTGCATGCAGATGTTGTCTTTGTATTGTGAGGACACTGTTGGAAGGGTCTTATGTAGTCCCTTTTTACCCACAATACCTTGCGTATAAAAACACATAATTATTCAAACAGATTGAGTATGTTCATTCATTTATGCAAGAAGTTTTCTCAAACCTCTGCCATGTGTCTTGTTTTAGTGCTAAACAGAGTAAAGAAAGAACTCCAACCAGCCTGAAATCTGTGAGCTGTAGAAGAATGCAGACTTTTGGAGCTCTCTGATACTAGAGAGTACATCTCTCAGAAAATTGTACTGTGTTGTGTATACAAGAACACAGGAATCTAACCCAGCACAGGGCAACAGACCTTCCTAAATGACAAAGATTAGTAGCTATCAGCAGTCTATGAGAGAAAGAGAGGAGATAATGAAGAAGGAAAAATGACCAAATCAGAGGGTTCAGCACATGTGCTAAGATAGAGAAGTGTCCCAACTGCACAGCCTAGATGTTGTATCTTATGTAACCACAGATCTCTGAACAAATCTAATCATGAGGAGATCTTCAGACTAACACATGAAAATTGTCTAAACCACACGCTCTTAGATCTTTAGACTAGATCCTTGGTAAGTGTATGGAGCCCTACTCTAAAAAATCCAATATTTTTTTGCTATGTATATAGAGATGCAATATCCCAATTGATATCTAGTCCGGTTAAGAAACTGGACTGTTGTGAACCTGTTGGATGATGTAGCAAAGGTCGGTTCAATCACAGCTGTTTTTACAACTACAAATTTTGTAGTTAGCTGGAATTGTGCTTCCAAGTGTAAATTAAGTCTTTGTTTGGGGGGAATGTTAGGAAAGCTTGATACACACAGTGTCATGAGGTCATGTGTGGTATCCTGTGCAATAAATGATGCTGCCTTACAAAAGGCACTTTATACAGGTCTTTATGAATGACTATAAAATGTACAGGATTTCATAAGATGAAATGTTTTCATAGGTTATGGTTTTATGGTAAAACATATCTCAAAGTATATGTATATTAATGGAAACAGTCAGGAAGGCACACATTCTCAGTGTGTGTAGACAGACACTAGTCAGTTGATGGGGAACCCTAAAAAGACACTACTTCATGTTGAATTGTGCGCCTGCATAATTCATATTTTGAACTCCGATCCCCATGACCTTAGAATGTATCTGTCATTTAAAACAGGGCATTTGAAGAGCTAATTAATCTTAAACGAGGTCACAGGGATAAGGTCCTAATCCAGTATAACTGGTGTCCTTACAAAAAGAGGAAGAGAGTGTGTGGGCAGAGGGAAGGTCATGTGAGGACAGGGGAAGGTGGCAGGGTGCAAGCCAAGGAGAGAGGCACCAGGAGAAACCATGGCTGCCAAACAGACCACAGGCTTCCAGCCTCCAGGACCTGGACAAGACCGGTTTCTATAGTCAAGCCAACTGATCTATGGTGTTTTCTTACAGCCAGGCTGTAAAGTGATGAATTTTACCCCCAAAAGGAAAATTCACATATTGAACCTCATATTTATGGAGATATAATTAAGATTAAATGAAGCCAGAACTGGAGAAATGGTGACTTGGAGATTTAAAACACTGATTGCCCTTCCAGAGGACCCCAGTTCGATTCCCAGATCCCACATGGAGGCTCACAATCATCTGCATCTCCAGCTCCAGGTGATCTGATGCCTGTTTCTGACCATGAGTACCAGGCATATAATCAGAGAAGAAAAAGAAAACGCTATATAAAGATACCTTAGATCTACAGAGAAACCTACACCAGAATCCAAATTTTCTAGCATCTGACTTTCAGATTCCGGTAATGTGAGAAAAAATAATTTTGTCATTTAAACCACTCAAGGTGTAGCATTTTCTTATGGAAGTTCTAGAACACTAATACAGACACAAACTCTGCTCTCTCTCTCTCTCTCTCTCTCTCTCTCTCTCTCTCTCTCTCTCTCACACACACACACACACACACACACACACACACACAAAGTACATGTTGACAATACACAAGTACGTGCTGACATAGGCTGGCCCAACATATCTTCTGGCATATATTTGGATTCCTATTTGAAAACAGAAGCCTTACATTGTGCCTTTGTAAATTGGAATTTTTCACTTGACCTAAAACAAGGGCACTATATTTATATTTCTATAGCCAGGATGTCTTTGTCTGAATATTAAATAGGATCAAAAATAATAGAATAATTTTCAGAAGGTGGGGTCAATGTAAGGTGCCATCACATTTTTAAAAACGTTCTAGACATTTACAAAGCAATTCTTTCATCTTTCAGAGAGAATGATCCCAGCTTAAGTTACCTGAAGTTAGCGAAGAAGAAACTTGGATTCCCTGTCCCCGTCCTTTTCCTACCTGAACTTTTCTTCATGCAGCTGCTACATTCCTGTCACTTGTCAAATTACAGTTGAAGCTTTTTGTAAGTTTAATTAAGCCTGACTAATTTTCCAACAGTACAAAGAAAGATGAAGAAGTCCTTAAATATTGAATCCATTTATGATTCAAAGTGTCATTCTCTGGATGTGACGGTTCAATTCTTAGAATTAATTACCCTCTGAAATTCAAGCTGCTTTTTAAGATATATAGTCGTACCTCACACAAAGCACAAATTCAACAGTTCAACTCTTCTCTAAGAGACTCTTCCAAATGCTGCATCTAAATTCGCATCCTAGCCATGAAATGAAATCATCTTTCATGGTAAGCCATATGATAGTCAACTATGCCCTCATCTTGATCTCCATTCCTGATTTTCCTTCTCCCTCATTGTCCTGGTATGAATCCGTTAAAATCTAGCTTTCCTGTGTACTGGGGACATAGCTAAGTGGGAAAACAGCTTCTCTGGTAAGCTTTAGGACCTGAGTGTGATCCCCAGGACACACATGAGAAAAACTGAATGTTGTAAACTCAACGTGATGGCTAATACTCTCAACCTGGCAGGGCCTAGAATGACCAAGGAGACAAATTCTTTGTGGGTGTCCATGGGAGTTTCTACACTGGGTTCATTAAGATAGAAAGATTCACCCTAACTCTAGGGTAACACCATACCGTAGGATAAAGCCCTAGACTTCAAAAAAAGAAAGAAACAACTGGTTGTGAACAGTCATAGTTCTCTGCCTCCTGACTGTGGCTGCATTATGGCCAGACACTTCTGGCTTCTGATGCCCTCACTTCCAGGCTATGATGGAGTCTACCCTCCAAGGGTGAGGTGAAAAATCAACCTCTTTTTCCCTTAACTGACTTTTGTCAGTCTATTTTGTCAACTCATTGAGACAAATGACTATTAATGATACACCCAACAGTGGTGAGATGGAGACAGGCAGAGGCCAGGGATCAGGCCAGTGAGAGACCCTGTCTTGAGAAAAAATAAAAAACAAGTGGATGATAATGGAGAGACAACATTTGAAGTTGTCCTCTGACGTCCACATATGTCCCTGCTCTGATCTGTACTTTAGCCCATCACAAGCTTCATCCACTTCTAGAAGCTTTCCCTCCAGCTTTTTTTCCCCTCAGTGTCACCATGGAGACATCTGAATGCATCTTGGACTTGATGTCCATTGCGCAGCACCTGTTCACTCCGTGTCACTACAGTGAAGGCTACCCAACTCAAGGATCGGTCTTCCATAGGTCAGATTTCCAACCCAAGACTCCATGGACTCGAGGGGTAACCATGCAGGTAACCACATTGAGGATTACTTAACAATCCCTCCAAAGAAAATTCTACTCTAGATTCCCATGCACAAAAACCCTGAGAGACTGGATACACAAGGGGCCAGGAGAGTGCATGCCTGTGCAAACACACCAGCAACCACAAGAGAAGCAGTGAGCCAAATCCTGGGGGCTTGGGCATTTGTTGGAAGTCAGCATCCCATGAGGCACAGGGGTTACGGAAGGTAAATCTCACTAGGCTTCTTCAAGGCCTTTTGGTTGGAATTCCAATTTCCTCCATAACATGCAGTGATAAAGGAAGACACAGCAGCTGTTTTGTCCTCTGATATGGAGGTCTCAGCTGAGGAAAGTCACCACCTGATCTCATCTGTCTAGCATTAGCTGTATCAACAGCAACAGCATCACCTCACCCCGAGTGAGGCTTGGCATAGTCCTCCTTTACCCGGTACCTCTTATAGGCCTTTGATATAAAATGCAATCTTTACCTTGGAAATATAAAATACTAAATGGTATGGTAGAATTCTTGGTCTTAGTTACTTCTTTTTTTTTTTAAAGATTTATTTATTTTATTTATGAATAGTACACTGTAGCTGTCTTCAGATACACCAGAAGAAGTCATCCAATCTCATTATGGATGGTTTTGAGCCACCATGTGGTTGCTGGGATTTGAACTCAGGACCTCTGGAAGAACAGTCAGTGCTCTTAACCGCTGAGCCATCTCTCCAGCCCGTCTTAGTTACTTCTAATTAAAAAGAAAGTACTATATATCACAGACCCCACCCGCCCAAAAGAAAATTAAACCAAAAACAAGAGTACTTAAAAATAGAGATTTACTAAGCCTCTACTTGATACACAAGAGCCAGCCCTGGGCTACTGCATCTAGGCAGTCCAGTGACATCCCCAGCTCAGACATCCCCAG